GCATAAATTTTGAACTTGTAATATTAAATCGCTTAAGATAAGCACACAGAGTAAATAAACATTGAAACGTGAAATGAACTTGCAAACGTATTGCCCGCGTGCCTCCGCTTTTAACAAATTTATTCCCAAAAGCCTGGCTTTAAATCTCTATACTAATTGCTATATATACAATCGTAGTTATATTTCATTATATAATATTTTGCCATAGGTTAGAAAGAGAGCGATCGTCTTCTGGAAAGCCCCATAAAAAGCCCACGCGAGCGAGGGAGACAACTATTAGCTCTATTAAAACTCATTTTTTTATGACAGCAGCAGTATCGCTAAAGCGGGCTACATACGACATGATATCGGTGGCGATCTAGGGTGGAGTAGTGGGGATGCCTCCTAGATTGCCTCTAAATCGTGTCGTATGTAGGGCCATCCTAAGTCGTGGCCGATATCGCCTCCTTAATCGGCTGGTAGGAGCAAAAATGCAGCCGATGCTTCCTAGATCGGGGCCCCGCCCCCTCCGTACTGCGTGTGTGTAGGCGCATCGGTCCGATTTCTTTTGGCAGTCGCTGCCGGCAGCCCTCGCGGAAGGACGTTAACGAAACAGTGATACTGAATGACCTTTTTTACATAACAAAATTTTTACTTTTTAAACATGTGAACGAAGTAGAAGCCTATGGCACTAATATTTTACAAAACACAAAAACAAATTTGAATAAATAAATTAATTAAAATCTATCGAAATTCAAATCATATCCACCCTAGCCTATGACCTTGCGAAGTCAAGAATGCCTAATATACTATTTTTTTTATTGCCGTTCGTAAAGTAGGGAGTATGAAGTAAGTAAGGAGACGATGAAGTCTCTCCTCAACAACTAACTCCTATTCCAACGCTATCAACACAAGACCGCACTCATATCTCTTACGTGCCTTCATCCTCTCATCAACAACTAACTCCTACTCCTTCACCATCTCCACATCAACAAACAAGCTATGAGAAGCTAGAAGGGAGTATGTCCGAAATTAAAAGTTTCTTTATGTTTAAAAAAAGATATAAGCTATTTTATTTTTTGATAGTTTTAATCCATAAATAAAGATTACATTAAAAAAAGTATACATATTATTATACAAAAGTATTTTATTTCTTTGTTTGTTGTGTGTAGTACATAACCCAATTTTGACCAAAGCAGAAATGAACAAAGAGAAGAAATAACTAAATAGCATAGGTAGAAGAAATTGATGTTTTTATATAAGTTGCGAAATCATTAATATATAGAAAAATTCTAGAAGGTTGTAAAAACTGTCTTCATCCATCCGGAGAAAATTAATCATGTCTTTGGATTACAGACCATTTAGTACGTTTATGTGGCTTAATTTTTGTCTCTTTTGGAGCCATTTTTCACCCAATAACTCCTCCTTTTCTATTTTCGAATAAATTAACCGAGAGGGCTAATTCCAAACCAACACGTTGATCTTTTAAGAGAGTCGGAGGCATTTTGAAGAACTCTACCGCATAAGCGTTCCGCTCCAAGTCCAAACGCGTACTGCTAGGCAGGCCCGTGTGTAGGGGCTGCCTTGATAAAAGCCCCGATTTCTTTCCACCCTAGATCGCCACCGATATCGTCTCGTATGTAGCCCGCTTAAGGCAATACGAGTACGAGGTCATCGGTCGACATGTGTCGAACAGTGGAGTGCGCGGGAAATTTGAAATAGCTTGAAACATTTTACGAGTTACTTTATTAGTTGATATTATTGATTGATATTATTGATTGATTCAGGTTTAATAAGGCAAGATCGGCTGTCCGGCTTTAATGGAAGCTTCGCCACTGTATTTAACGCTCATAATGAAGACATATGGTCAACGAAAAATCCGCATTCGTATAAACCAAGCCACTTTCAACACCGATGGAAAATCAATGTGTGGGCGGGAATTATAGGTGACAAAATTATTGGTCCGTATTTTCTTGACCACACAATGATCAACAGAAACAGAAACAGAAAGCAACATCTTCGTGGTCGTCAAGTAGACATAGTGATAAATTAGTGTTTGACTATAACAGCTGTGATGTGACGAGGTCACGACCTCAGTGTGCAGTTAGTGTAGGCAGGCCTCTATCACTCTTACTACTTACGTGAAATAATTACCTAAAATCGCGACGCGCCCGGGCGAAATAACGCAGTCAGGGCTAGCGCATTAAAGGCGATTGAATTTCTTTCGAACCAAGCATCGCGCTCCCCGACGAATGACCTTGCTATTTGCATGCATTAGGCATCGCAGAACTCACATAGGGGCGAAAGAATGGTCAGTCGATAATAGTCAGAATAGGTACTTCACCTAAGTAACATAATTAACATTTCGCAATGTATTTTTTTACTTTCTATTGACATCCCTTAATAACCACGGAAGTCCGCCATGACTTAGGAAGCGGAAAAGATGCAAAGTAATATGGACACTAACGCGCAGCCATAAAGTTTTATTTGGCTTGCGTGCGCGATTTATCTGATTAATAATAATTATGTAGGCTATTAAACATCGGCAAGCAGTCAACATCAAAGGACTGCAACTTCTGTACCAGAGTTAATTAATCCACATAAAATTTACAAATATTATTTAATTAAAATTTAATTTGATTATTTTTAGAGTTTTCTGAAGTAAAGTTACTTCTATACGTTTGAATACTGATTCTGATAACGCACATAACGGAAACCACAGGGTTTTTGTTAAATGTTGTATATATATATACACTCGGCGTCACAAAAATCGCACCTCCCCCGAAAAAAAGTTACTTGAGTGTCTGGCTCTCTCTCTCTCTCTCTCTGTATATTCAGAATCTGCATGAAATTTGCTTTAATATGTATATAAAATTAATTAATTCTGATAGCAAGTGGAAATATTTCAAGCGGTCTAATCACACAAATGTGTAAATATATACACGTATTTGTAGAAAAATGCATTTAAAAATCAATATGAATCATTAATACCATTATAAAAGGTCTTATAATGTTATTTATTAGTTATTTTTATAATATATATAGGTAAAATCATCCTCTTCTCATAATATAAATAGTGACACTTCATATAATAATAGTCAAAGAAATAGATTTGAAAGCGAAGTTGTGAAAGCAAAATAATATCTTTACAACAGATGTGAGTTCAAAGCCATTTTTGGCCTTGATTAGCCACTTAAAATATTTTTTGTGGTCCCCTATTATGCTCAACTTGTTAACGAGTTTCTTTCATAATACATCACGTGTTTTAAGTAGTCAGATCTTCTATAATCTCGATACGAAACAAAAAAAAAATCCACAAAAAATACCACTGCTAAAGATAAGGCTGTAAAAAATAAACTGTTTGATAATTTTATAAATGAATTGTTTTGTCAATAACTATACTGAATATGAAATGAATAAACATGAACACACATTTCTAATGATTTGCTAGAGTTATTAAAATCAACTAAAAACATTGAGGCAAAATTTCGAACCAAACTGAGAATTAAGGACATAAGATGAATAGAGTCGTCTTTCGTCGAATATTTTATATTTATTTGTAAAGGCATGTATTAATGTATTAGATTCATCGGTGTTTTTATTTTTTTAGTTGTTTAGTTTAATTTGTTAATGGTGGAAAATATTTTTTATTTTTTTTTAAATGGTTTTTATGGGTCAACTTGACGAAAATGAAACAATGGCAAAGTTGGATAAATTGTATAATAATAATAAAAACAAAAATTAGAACAAAAGTATAAAACAAAAGACAAACACATACGGGTCGAATTGAGAACGTCCTACTTTTAAGAAGTCGGTTAAAAAGCTTAAAATTATTATTTAGTGGCGTGATGTTGTACAAAGCAAGTAAACGGGCACAAAGTCACGTTGCAACCAGGGCAATAAACGTGGGTGCGTTTACGGCATACAACGCAAACCCTGCGCAATTTCTCCCCACCTCGGCCTGGAAGAGTCTGATATTCTTTGCGTAGGTGTAAAAAATAATCTTCTGAGAAAGAAGTGGCGCTACCATGTGAGGTAATTGCGTCAATTGGAGGTTGCACTTTCTTTTTAAACAAATTTTTTATGAATTCCAATCTAAAACCTCTGTGTGTGGTGAATCTTGGAACTGGGTGTTCTGGTACCGGGGACTCAAGAGTGCAAGATGAAACTGTTCAAGACACTAACATTAAGTAGGCGCTTGAACAGTTTCTTGTACCACACGCGAGTCCTTTTTCGTTCCATAGGGAACATCGCTAGTTTTTGATCCTTACGGTCAACCCCTCCCATACATAAATTATAGTCCAAAACGACTATCGGTTTGATTGTTTCATTTATACGTTGTACTGCGTTGCCGTGATACGTGGATATAGTTGCTATCCTATTTTTATCTCGCCAGACCAGAATATCCACATCTCTAGTGGTGCATCCCTGTATTTCTCCAACAGCCATGTTACCTTTTTTAAAGATGCCAGCTGTGGGGGTCCGAACTGTCGCTTTGTACGTAAAGTACCGACACAATCAAAACCCATCGTTTTTAACGTACGTGCGAGGGCGGGGCTGTTATGCAACAGACGAAGGACCAAACTCGAAATGATCCCAGATATGGGAGTAGGCGGCTCGGTGGTACTCTCTTTGTTGCCCGAGTGGATTTCAAAACGCCAAAGATATCCAGACTTAGCGTCGCAAACCTCATAGGTTTTGACACCAATTGACGCAGCTTTGTTTTTTTATAAATTGATTAATTGCTAACCACCCCTTCCAATGCGTCAGCGATTCATCTATACAAATATTTTGTTTCAGTTTGTATAATAACTGCAACTTCTGGTTAAGGTGGTCAGCTATAGGCCTTATTTTATAAATTTTAGCCTCCGAAGGACTCAAAGCCAAGATATCATCACCATTTTTCGCAAAATGTATAAATTTATTCAACAGAATAAATCTGTTGTAAGATATATGTTTTGCGAAATTTGGTGTGTCACAGATGGACCCGTCGCAATGCCAGCACTCCTTAAGATTGGGCTTTAAACAGAGTCCCATTGCCAAAAGTATCCCAAAATAAAGATACAAGTCAAGTCAACGTTTGTAGGAGTCCAGCGGTGCAGTCGCGATTGGGTTCCAAGAGTATCTTGTCTTTCAGAAATCTCTTCTTCGGCATACCTATTTGTTTCTGCAACAATATGACCTATGATTGCGCTGTCCCATATAAACAGAAATATGGCTTCTGGACTCTGTACGAATTGTCCTGGCAAGTTCAGAACAGGACCTCCTGCTTCTCTAAAAATTTCACTCCTATCCCGTGGAGGGATCGGTGTTTCTGGAAAAGCTTTCCAATCAAAGAGGAATCGCTCGGGTCCGGCCGGCATGCTGTATAGTATATTAGCATTTCCTGTTGGCATTCCCCCCCGAGATGCCGACAGGTCCAGTAGGATACCAGAAGATTGAGACATTACTACCTCGTCCTCAGCGTCGTCATTCATAAAAAACATACGCTCAGTCCTTGGCACGAAAATGGGGAATGCTTCATCTTCAGACTCGCTACCTGTAAAGATAAATCAGCTTATTACAACATTGCAATAAGTAAAAAATTTGTGGTATCGTCAATATTTAAAAAAAAAAACAGTTACCAAAATTCAGAATATCGTCAATTTCAATATCTGTTAAAATATGACGCTTTTTTGGTGGAATGGTCTCTAATTGAGTAGTGCAAGGCGTGCTGGATCTGCTTCCACCGCATTCAATGAATCTAAAAAGAAAATATATGTAAGTATGTTAAATGGTAAAACGGCAATATATGTTCATGATCACATGCTGCAGTAGAGATACTTACTGCGCAGATGAAGGCACCGCCATTTCAACATTTGATCTTGTGCAGGGCGTGCTGGATCTGCTTCCAACGCATTCAATGAATCTAAAAGAAAATATATGTAAGTATGTTAAATGGTAAAACGGCAATATATGTTCATGATCAATGCTGCAGTAGAGATACTTACTGCGCAGATGAAGGCACCGCCATTTCAACATTTGATCTTGTGCAGGGCGTGCTGGATCTGCTTCCACCGCATTCAATGAATCTAAAAAGAAAATATATGTAAGTATGTTAAATGGTAAAACGGCAATATATGTTCATGATCACATGCTGCAGTAGAGATGCTTACAGCGCAGACGAAGGCATCGCCATCTCAAAATTGGATCTTGTACTTGGTGACCAGAGACGTGGTTTTTTGATATGCATGGGTACTTCTAGTCTCTCATCGAATATAAGAGGATCTATCTCCTCTGTATGTCGTCTCTTTCGATGGAATCTGTTTCAACCTTTGTTAAAATGTGGAATACTTAAGCACATTTTTAGCGATATAATAAAACAATGAAATATATAAACGACAGTTAAAGTAAGGTTATATTTTGTACAAGCAAATATGTCAAAGAAACAAAATAATACAAAGGTAAAATTTACACATGTCCACCGCCTCTACTGCCTCGTGCTTGCCCACCCCGCGTACGTACGCGCCCAGTACTTCGCCCACCTCTCGTATGTACTTGGCCGGTATGTTGAACGCCTCTCGTGATCAATGGAACTATGATAAAAATAAAACAATGTTTACATGCACTGCAATTTTATTATAATTGGGAATAAGAAAACGGTTAGCAATTGGAACAAAATTAAATCAACTCAGAGAGATAATACTAGTTTTTACGGAATTTATCGCGTATATTTAACTTTTTAAATACCCGACGTTTCGAACGCTTTACAGCACTCATGGTCACGGGCGGGACTGAGATGTTCAACGTCCATATGTCATAGTTAACGTCCCTCAAGGTAGGTCAAGTGTAATGTCCCTCTGCAAGATGCAGGAGTGTACAAGCTTGATTGTGAATGTGGTCTCTCCTACATAGGACAAACTAAAAGATCAATAAAAACCCGCGTTAAAGAACATATAGCTGATGTGAAGAGTCGACGCTCCGGGAAGTCTGCAGTCTGTGAACACGTGCAGGATCGCCCCCGTCACTACATCAGATTTGATAGACCGCAAATCCTCGCTAAAGAACACCGATTCCTTCCAAGGATGATTCGCGAGGCTATTGAAATCAAAAAACAACCTAATATCAATAGAGAAGATGGCTGGGTGCTACCATCTGCTTGGGATCCTATAATAAATAAAATTAAATCCCAACCCAAGCATACAACTGCAAGACTTCAAGATACCATAAGTTCATACTGCATAGATCGGAACAAAAGTTAAATTTTAATCTATGATAACTGCGGTTAACTATGACATATGGACGTTGAAAATCTCAGTCCCGCCCGTGACCATGAGTGCTGTAAAGCGTTCGAAACGTCGGGTATTTAAAAAGTTAAATATACGCGATAAATTCCGTAAAAACTAGTATTATTTCAATGTGTAGTGTTCGCGTAAATATAAGAAATCATTATGCAACTCAGAGAGTTTTATCATCTGAGCTAATGTCTGGGTGATCAAGGGACAAGTTTCCTATCTTTTTCGGAGTCCTTGACATTAATTCTAAATTTAAGGCTGTTGTCAAACGGCTTTGGCTGCTGTCTAACGAAGAAGGCAAATTAGGTATTGTATCAGCACTGACAGTATCTGGCGTACCTATGTTAAAACTGTCCTAATTTTCGTCCGATGGTATCAGAATATACTCTATAACAAAATTAGTGTATTCATACCCATTCTTCGAAAAATAATAATTATAGGAAATTGTACACTTACCAACTTCGATATCCGCAGCTGGTGCCAATTGTATATCGGCTATAACAAAAATGGTAATATAGGTACCAAATATTATACAATGTGTCCCAAAATTCAACGATTTAAACGGTACTCGAGAAAAAAAAAGAAAAAAAATCTAAATCGTTTTTAAAATTACAAAAAAAAATATATGAAAATCTTCGAAAATCGATACCCCGATATGGTATTTTTAACTACCATGATCACATTTTTAATTTTTTTTTTTTTTGTATCGGTAACCTTAATAGTACTGCTATCTACCACAACCATTATCCTCTCGTCAGTCCAAAAGTCCAACCTTCTAAAGGTCGCTATTAAAAAAGTACAAGCCATTATGAATTCAGAATTCGGGGCGTCCCGCCACCGTATCACGGTTATTCAAGACATCCTCTTATAATTTTGTTATTTAGATTTATTTTAAGCACTGTGTATATCGTTTTTAAGATATAACAATAGTTTATGATAATTTCTCCCATTAGAAGAAAAATTTTAGCAGAAATATTTCTTATATCTTAAAATCTAAAACGATTTTTGCAACGGTTTTGTTTGGCTAGGCACATGGTTTAATCTAAATACTGTAAAACAAGTTCGTGGTAGCAAAACTATAATGAAAATAATATTACCATATATTATGAATAACATTAGCTACTTGCCAAAAACTTTCTTCTCGCGATACTCAAATTACAACACAATAAATTCACAGACATCACCTACTGATAAGTTTAGTTGATTGTTTGTTTTAACAATCGTCGAAACTAAACTATACGTGCTTGAGTATTAAATCTGTTAAACGTTTCATTAGCTTCAATATAGTATACGCTAGAAAGAGACAAACATTATTTCGGCTTTTCATTTAAATATTATTTGGGACAACTACGTCACCACCGTATAACGGTCGACGGGCGCTTATCGCGGGAAAACAGTCCACCGTAAAACGGTGGCCGGGCGCTCGATAGGTTAACGATGTGCCTACAACAGATTTTTACCTTATGTTTAGTAGTGTCACCTACTGGGAACTAGCTAAAATGTTTTCTAAATAAATATTCAGTGTAGTATTATATATTTCGCTAGAGGGTGTAATGCGCGTGGTCACAGCTTTTGTATGAAAATGTTCCCAATGTCCGCTCTATAGTGTAATTTTGTTGTATGTACAAAATAATTTGTGCACATTTTGTACAACCGTTGCCAATATTTTTTAAGTTAACTATAATGGGTACAATTCTTCTCTTACATCTGGAATAGGTTCAAACTATTTAAGATAAAGGTTATTATTAATTACAAAATATTAATTATAAAATTAATTATTTATTAATTATGAAATTATAATTATTTATACATTTATAATGCCTTTTTAATGTTACAGTCATACTGGGGATACGAACTAAACGCTGAAAATATGGATGTTGTCATAGAGAAACATGGTCTACAGAAAATTTCTTTATTGAGGTAATGTTTAAAGAATAATGTATTTTTAATAAAATTGATATCAATAGTAGCGAAATTGTACATTTTAATGAATAACAAATATTTAATGTTTCATATAATTTGCCAATGTAAATCGGTATTATTTTTGTTGTATAATCTAGTTTTAACTAAAACATTTTTATAGGTCTTTCGCGCTCAAAGTGGGTTTGCAGATTTTATTGCGGGAGTACGACTTCGACAATAAGAACAAAGCGGCATTCACGCCATCGGACATTATGAACATATTTCCTGTTGTCAAACATATCAATCCAAGGGTGAGTGAGTGTGGGAGTTCCATGAAAAAAAAAGGAATGATTTATAATATCTATTATAACATACATTCAATTTGCCCCACGCACATGCATACATAATATGTGATTAATTTGTAATATTGTTTAATTTTGTTATTAGTACAAACTAAATCAATTAGTTACTGTTACAGCCTACTGAAGTTTACTGCTGAACATAGACCGCCCCAATAGATCGCCTCATAGGGGGGATATTGCCATTGTTGCCACACTTGGCAAGCGGGTTGGCAACCGCAGTTTTTTATTTTTAGTAATTATTAAGGAGGCGCTGCTGCCTATTGTTTCTCTCTGCCCCTCTTACGACACCCACGGGATGATATGGGGTAGTGAATATTCTTACACAGACACTATACGTTACGAATCAGTATTATTACTTAATCCAGTAGGTGTTGTAAAAACCGACGGAGGGAAATAAAAAAGTTCTTCGGTTACCAACCTGCCTGGCAAGCGTGACAACTGTGGCAAACATTTGAGAGTGGACGAAGATGAGCATTTTATCGAAGAATTGTATTTAGTGATGAAGCTCATTTTTAGTTAAATGGATTAAGTAAAATTGTCGTATATGGAACGAAGACAATCCTCATGCCATTAACGAATGACAGCGTGCAAACAGCACCGAATTAACTTTTTGGTGCAGTTTACATGCTGGCGGCATCATCGGTCCTTATTTCTTTCGAAATGAAAAAGGAGCTGCCATTACGGTAAATGGCGAGCGCTATTATTTTTGTTTCCAAAAAATAATCAGCTAAACACCGACGACATTTGGTACCAACATAACGGCGCCATTTGCCACACAGCGCGCTTAACTATCTATTTGTTGCAAAATCAATTTGGTGACAACTTTATTTCTAGAAGTGGTCTCGTTAACTGGCGTTAAACCCTCGTTCGTGTGATTTAACGCCTCTCGATTACTTTTTATAGGACTATGTTAAGTCATTGATTTATGCCGACAAATTCAAGCCGCCATTGACTCCATACAGTCAAATTTGTAGGAAAAAGTAGTGAAAAATTGGACTGATCAAACGGACTATGTAACTCGTAGCCGCAATGGACATATGCCCGTAATCATATTTAAAAAATAAATGATATGGAAATTTTCTACCAGATTATTATCTGCCAATATTTCTCTGGAAAACGTCTCCGAGTGCCGGGACAAACTTGTGTCTGAAGTTGAGTCTTTGCTGAACAGAGTCTCGGATTGGGGGCGACTAAATCTAGTCCAGTTTAACCCCCAGAAGACACAAGTTTGCGCGTTAACCGCTAAAAAGAACCCCTTTGTCGTATTTTCTCGATTTCAAGGCACTCCCCTGTGTTGCCTCAGCCAGTATCGGAATCCGCGGCGTTGACATATCGTGTGACGTGCAGTTTCGTGGTCACTTGGAAGAGAAGGCCAAATTGGCCTCTAAAAAGCTTGGCGTGCTCAGCAGAGCGGGACAGTATTTCATGCCGGCACACCGCCTGCAACTTTACAAGGCGCAGGTTCGGCCGCACATGGAATACTGTTCCCATCTCTGGGCTGGTGCTCCCCAGTACCAGCTCCTTCCACTTGACCGCATCCAGCGCAAAGCGGCTCGAATCGTCGACTACCGAGTGCTTTCCGATCGGCTCGATTCACTGGCACTGCGAAGAGATATTGCATCTCTGCATTTTTTTTCGCATATACCATGGAGAGTGCTCTGAGGACTTGTTCGGATTAATCCCAGCCGCCAAATTTCGTTAACGCACTACGCGGCAAACGTCCCGATACCATCCACACCATCTGGATGCTTGGCGGTCCACCACAGTACGTTTCAAAAGGGGTTTTCTTCCGCGTACAACCTCTCTGTGGAATAGTTTACCACCGGCGATTTTTCCGCACCGATACGACCTGGTGACCTTCAAAAAAAGAGCTTACTCCTTATTAAAGGGCCGGCAACGCACCTGCAATTCCCGTGGTGTTGTTGTTGATCATGGGCGGCGGTAGTCACTTAAAATCAGGTGAGCCGCATGCTCGTTTGCCCCCTCTTCTATAAAAAAAATCTACCAGATTATAGTAATAGAAAATTAATTCCATCAATATTTCTAAACGTAAACACTCACGCCTGTCACCCAGAGAGGGGTAGGTAGAGGCTTCCATATAGCACGATCGTTCTTCTTCTGCCACACCCAACTTTCACTACCATATGTTAAAGTAGGGACTAATACAGCATTGTGAATTGCCATACGTACCTTTTTTGACACATTCTGACTTTTCATAATAGAGTGTAGAGCCGCATTTACTTTATTTCCTGCATTGCAGGATGCAGGAAACAATATTTCTGTCTTGTATTACTATTTAAAGTTCTTCAGCTCTTAAAAAAAAACATGGTTTATAAAATGTAATTTTGCCAGCAGGCGTCAGACGCGTACAACTTCTACACGACGGGGCAGAACAAGATCCAGAGCGGCGCGGTGTCGGAGGGGCACGAGCTGATCGCGGAGGCGCTGAACCTGCTCAACAACGTGTACGGCGCGATGCACGGCGAGATCGCGCAGTGCCTGCGCATGGTGGCGCGCCTGTGCTACGTCACCGGCGACCACCGCGACGCCATGGCCTACCAGCAGAAGGCCGTGCTCATGTCCGAGCGCGTCAACGGCATCGACCACCCCTACACCATCACCGAATACGTGAGCTGCGATTCTTATTATTCTGCCTACATACAAGTATTTTCTTATTAAATGGGGAATAACCGCTGCGTTGGAAGACGTTTTCAAGTTACTGGACTGTATCAAAATCAATGGCGTGTACATCATTCACTTCCGATTTGCTGACTAGTTAGTCATTTATAGGAAAATCGCTATACTCAATAACACCAATAGTATCTTCCAACGAATAGGTTTTAAAATGAACATGAATCGAGACGACTGACATGACTGAATATACAACACGTAACATAATTAACGCACTTTGACAAAGTAGTTTGTTCAGAATCGTTTACTGAATCGATTCCTATCATTTTTATTTAATATAGGTAATTTTTTATCCCAAAAATAATCAAAACTACGTAAATTACAGTCACTCTAAATCTGTATAGTCAAAACAAACTGAAATGGACCGTAACTAAAGGCAATAAGACTTTTAAGAGTGCAGTTTTATTTGTATTATTACTAATTCTGTCATTCAATAAAAATAAGGAAAAATGAACTTTATTTCAAAGACGTTAAAGTCTTTGTGTTCGTGGGTTTGTACTGTGACAACAAAATTCTTCCGGAATTAGTATAACTAATTTGATAAATAATCAGTGCATAAAAATGTTTAACTAAAAATTCAGTGTATGTATTATGATTATAACATAATATACTAGCTGGGGTGTCTGAGGGTGTGCGTTAATTACGTTACATGTTGTATACTAGTACGCTGGACTGGCTATACCACAGATTACCTCCTAATAGATTCCGCATACAGGGCCACAAACGCGCGCAACACATACTTGCTGTAGCTAGCATATGAAGTGACGCTAAGAATCACGATATCATTGTTGACCAATTTGTGACCCGTAGGCACGTCCGAGTTTTTGAAAATTTAAAAATAGTTTTGTATCCAAAATACATTACAAATGGCTTCCTATGCAGTGAAATGGTGTGGCAAGTCAGCTAAGACATCCAGTTATCAAAAAGATGGCATAATATTTCATCGGTAAGTAAATTTTATTCTTATCACGTTAACCTATTTCAAATGCACCGGAGTTCAACTTACACTGGATATGTAATGTTGCAAAGTGATATCATTTGAGCACCCGTTGATATCTTTTTGAAATGTCCCTTTCACTCATTACGTAAATTAAAATAGTTGTCTTTGTCTAACAACAGCACGTGTATCGATAGTGTTGTGATTTATAAGTCGATATTTTTTGGTCACCGTTTACTTTTGTAGTCATTATTTTATATAAATAGTGGCGTATAATTGTGGTACCTATATGTTATAGGTTTCCTAAAAGCCCCGAAAGGAAAAATGAGGATCGACGCTACTTGTCGATGGACCAATGGTTTCCCAGCAAAAATTGTGTGCTATGCTCAAGACACTTCATAGAAGACAATCTTCATATTATGAAAAACCGTAGAAGGCTGTTGGATTCCGCTATACCATCTCTATACTTGCCAGTTTTAGTGTGGACTTTTACATTTTTTTAAAAGTATAATACCAATGGTGATTACACAATAAGTAATAGCATTAATTGGTTAATTGAAACGTGATATTCTAATATTTAGGCGAATTTTACACGTCGAAATTAAACTATTTTTAACGGATTTATAAACCATAAAACAAGTGAAAGTTATAATGTGATAATGTTATTCTAGTGTTGCATGAACTTCAGTAATATCTTATTAGTATTATTATTAAGTACATCTAATTTTGAAACACGTATCATATGGTTTTTTAATTAATAATATTACTTTTAGGTGCAACACTAGGCAAAAATACTGTCACCACCGAAAGGACATACCAGAACACACACAAAGGATTCACACCATTTTGTTAGGGAAATAAAAGACTTACATCTCGCTGATAATGAAACTGTGGTCAGTTTTGGTGTTCAGTCACTATTCACATGCCTACCTATTGAGGACTGCTTCTCAATTGTAACTGGGAAGCTACAAGTAAACAACATGCCTGCAGAATATGCAGTATTACTCAAACACTGCTTCACATCTGGCTCACATCTATTGTAGAAGGAAGAGTTCTACAAGCAAGTTGATGGTTTGGCGATGGGCTCACCTGTATTTCCTATAGTCGCCGACATATATCATGGAGGACTTTGAGGAGAAACCCTTCTTACTGCTCCTATAAATCCAAGATTCTACTAACGGTTCGTAACACTTTCAAAATTTTACCTTCTGAGAAAACAACTGCATTTTTAGATGACCTTAACTCCGTAAGTACAAATCACGATGGACTTAGAAGCAAATAATACTTTAGCTTTCCTAGATGTTTTAGTCATTCGAAATCCTGATAACACTATTGGTCATACTATGTATAGGAAAAAGGCCTATACCAACCGATATTTAAATGGTGAATCTCACCATCATTCTTCATAGTTTGCTACTGTGGGTAAATATTTGTGTCAGAGAGCACAAGGGATCTGTGACAGAATACATCTGGCCGCCGAGCTTCAGCATGTCAAGCAAGTATTGCAAGATAACAAGCTTTGGGTCCCAAGCCTACGTCACAGCGACCGAGTGAAGCCGGCGACAGTCGGTGGATGGATGCTGCCACCTACTTGGGATCCTATAATTAACAAAATCTATCCAAAACCAATCATACCACTGCAAGACTTCAAGATACTGTAAGCTCGTTTTATGTAGATCGGGACCAAAAATCAATGTTCAAAAAGTGAAGATAGCCGGACTAACTATGATATTGAGATGTCAAACATCTCAGTTCCCTCCCCCCTCCCCCGTGACCATAAGTTAATTAAACGCGATAAAATCCATATATAGTTTTATTCAATGTGTAGTGTTCGCGTAAATTTAAGAAATCAATTAATCCCAAATTTCTCGATCAACGTCCTAACCCTGTCCCATCACTATGGTTCGGAGCATTCTAAGTTCAACCTTGAATTATCCAATCACAGCGCATTTGACACGTCCCCCGCAACTCGAAATTTGGTGAAATCGAAATAGAACAAATATTCCATGATGCGGTATCTATTAGGAGGTAATCTGTGGGCTATACACTACAAAATGTTTGTGCCAGTTTGAAGCGCCGCCATTGTTCGTGCCGGGACTAAAATTGACATAATATGCCAAAGTCTGTTGTGTTGTTCAAATCGTATATCTTTAAATGAAAAAATGAAAGTATTTTGTGTAGTTTGAATATGTTTGATTTTATTTATATAATAAGAATTATTTTTTTGTAATAATGAGTGTAGGAAATTTGTAAAACTTGTTACCAAAAGTAAAGTGGGATAACATTCCACAGGTGAATTTGCAGCTAATATTTAAAAAAAAAACTATTTGATTATATAAGTACATAAAAATTTATAACTAATCTTAGCATCGTAATTACCAACATGATTGGCTTTATATTACTGAATATTGATTAACAATAAAATTCAATAGGGTTGTCGAATTCCTTGTCTATAATACTTATCGATGTTCTTTTCTAACCATATCTGTTAGCAACTAAAATCGTTGACAACCGATAACTATCAAATGTTTCTTTTGTTATTGATTCACAAACTCTAGAGTATCATCATATTGTACACATTTGTGTTGGAAAAACGCAAATGAAGTTATATGAGAGTAATCGCGTTTAATTAATTTTAGGTATAAGATTTCCGTCTAAGGACTGTGCAAGACATACTTAAATAGAATTGACGTTACGGGTAGGCCTGGGTATAAAATTTCGATCGATATATTTTATCACACTGCCTTTTTTCTATTATTAATTCCGTGGACGTTCATTGCCGCCGTCAGTATCAGTGATCGAGACAAAAATCAAGTCACTGTAATGTCAATGTCACATGGTTGCCGATATTTGTCAACGAATATCGTACCTAAAGCAAATTATTATCCCACTATGCAACTCCAAGTTCAGCTAAGACGTCAATCAAAGGATCCAACTCGGTTAAGTGGCATTCGAGGAGATTATAATACATCTTCTCGTGTCACGTTTACCGTCAAATTTAAAACCAAGTGTAACAAAACCAGTGAATATTATGTAAGATATAATATGGATATGAGACGTGATCATTAACCGCTGGCCGTGTGAGGATTAAAAATTAGATATTATATGTCTATTACTAGACGTTTATAAAAGAAATTCATTATCTAGCGATATACTCTCTAAACATTAGTTTAAAAGAAAACAGTTTTTAAATATTTTGCTACCTATATATTATTTATATCAGAATCTATAAAATTTTCATCTTATTTCAGTCGCACTTGGCATTATACTGCTTCGCGAACGGGCAAGTGAGCACAGCTCTAAAGTTACTGTACCGAGCGCGCTATCTCGCGCTCATAGTCTGCGGGGAAAATCATCCGGAGATGGCACTGCTTGATGTAAGTATTTCAGGTGGCAATAAATATAAACAGCATCATTCTTAAAATTCTGAAATATACGAGTACAAATATTTTTACTAAAATTTGCGATGCTGGCAATTTTGATGATATAAGATCAGCATTTCGGCGACGTCGGTTACACTATGACTTTACTTCCAAAATTAATAAAAAAACTTACCAACTAAGGTTATGTAGTTTAAAAATGAAAGTTAACTCGTTTACAGGCTTTTAGATAACAGTACAAATTGACTGCAATTTAAATATTAAAATAAACGAAGAATATTAATATTGATTCTTTCTAATGCTATATTGACCTCAAAGAGAGTTTTAATTTTAAAGTAGAAAAGACCCAACCTTTTTACAAATTTTTCCTCGTTTTAACTTCAATGGTTGTTGGTTTTCATTCTAACGTTTATAAAAGCTTTCAAATGTGCCTAATGTAAAAAGGAAGTAAAAGAAAGCTTGCTCTTATGTGATCGACTTTGGTTTGGTCGCTCACTAATTTACGTGATATACGAATAATATCCTCCGGACCGAATTTTGGTCACGGCGGACAGTCTCAACGGAGACATCAGCGCGGAACAAGATTAAAATGTAATAGTGTATGCAGAAGCATAGGTGTATTCTCTATGGCCTCACTTCCGTAGTCTGATGGGACAGCAATTTAGTGCAATGGGTGAGAGATCAGGCACAGGAACACATGTGCTTTTTGAGGTACGGGGGTGAAACACCACCCACTTTCTAATTCCGAGCTGCTAATGAGTATTTCATGAGTTGAAAAATCCAATAATTAGTTTTAGCCTGATATGGTTTCGCACCCGGGACCACATGAAGGACCACTAGACCAGCGAGGCAGTCATAGTTACGTGAAATAGCTATTGTATTATTGCCATCGGCTCGACTATGAATAATCTAGACCAACCCGTACATAAGACTTTGGAATTCTTTGCGAGTGTGGCATAAAAATGGTATGCTGTCGAGTTTCGTATTTTACTAAAATGGACTATACACTTGTTTAAAAAAAAGACACTATGATATCTTAAGACAAGCACTTATATTCCCTGAGCTACTTTGTGTTTCTATATGTCAATAGATAAGACTTATTTGAATAAAATATCTATATATTAATATGCAAGGAGAAAATTTTGTACCCCTTTTTAAGCACAATATGTGTACGGGAGTGTGAGATTTTGCATTATTCGTATAGATTAATTATTGCAAGTCGAACAGTTGCACAGAGCAGTAATTGTGGCCAAAGGATTCTAAAAGGTTGTGTGTGAATGAGTGTGGCAAAAGCGTTTATTTTATATTCTGTATGTATATACACTTTAATATTAGACATATGTGTTTGAGATATAAATGTTGAAAGCATAACTAATACATAAATACTGAAAGTAGTTGAATGTAAAATACCGCTTGCTTATTAAAATTTAATAAATAAATCGAGTCACACACTACGCAGATACGATAAGATCTGAGCGTTTATTTTTTAATATCGCTATCTATGTGATTGTATGAACTAACATACACAGCATTGATAGTTTATATTTTATCGTCGAGTATCTGTAGGCACCGACCTATATCGAAAGATAGTGTCCATATTATCTGCTTTTACAAATATACCTGCAGATAACATCTGAAGATATAAATATGCTATAGAATTTTATCTGCAGATAAGTAGAGGATGGTCGCGTGGAGGCGCGGTGAGACGGGAAACCATGCGGCGGGGAGGAGCAGCCGTCCGCCGCTCGCTCATTCATTCAATGTTGTTTACGTCTGGATGACGTGCGCATGGTGCTATGGAGCGTCTAATCGAAAGCGTTCGAAAATATCCGTGTTTATGGAAAATAGATATAGAAGAGTACAAATTAAGTGACGTAAAAGAAGCTGCCTGGAGGGAAATAGTAAAAGAGTGTGATTTGCCCGATGGTAAGTATTTTTCATTTTTTTACAAGTACAAAATTACAATTATTTTTTGTTCTGAATGAATTAATTCGATGAAAAAAAAATGAATTGGATTTCGTCGCCGTGATACACTGCCTAAGGTTTTTAAGTAAGCATTTTGTACATCCTGCGTAAGCTGTCAAGATCCCAATTGCATTTTTTACTACTCTGCGTACCCTGCAGAGTCTCTAATTAAATATTCTTCGGCATTCAGTTAATCTCATCTTCGGATATGCTTGCATTAAATTTTTATTAGTACGGGAATGCCCCATGCCTCTTGTAATATTGAAAAGGTGTCGGTGAGAAGGGAGGCATGTTACTCTTGTTATGACTTTAATAATATTGCTTCTAAACTTATTTCTACCTTAACACTAACATATACTGTCGTGGGGGCTACACTGCACCCCGATCCCATACAAAAATATAAAAAAAGACAAAAATATAAATAAAAGAAATGAGTACATTTGTTTTTTTTTTTGTAAACAAAAAATGGCATGTCTCAAAACATTATTATAATTTACAAAATAAATAATAAAAGATAGATTCAATGGGTAGGTCAGGTGGTCAGATTCTCCTGCTACAAATTAGTTTGTAGGTCATAATGGTATTGGTATGATGTACGAGCATGTACGTCTCGTATATTGCATACATACAGCATATATTTAACATAATTAATTAATATGTAACATATTAGAAATTCGCGAACATCTTGTGTAATTTTACGGGCATTACAAATTTATATCAAATAGTCTCTTATAATACATCGTTTTCAATCAGGAAATGAGGTTCACAATGATCACAACAAACTTTAAGTAAGTTAATTGTATACACAATAGGAATTTTAAAATCTTTAATACGAAATTTTTTTTTCATAATCTACACGAATAAGTTAGGATTAAAAATATTTTCTCAGTAAATAATGAATTACAAAAGTTCAAAGCTTTTGATTTGAAAGTTCAAGTAATATTAAACTGAAAATAAATTATTACATTTCATTTTAATATATCCAGAACGAAGAAGTAAATGCCAAGCAACAAAAGTAATCATTTTCATTAACGTAATAACAGACAGATCAAAATACAAATTGCAATCCTACCCGCGTAAGCGATTCCTGACAGTTTTAATTATCAAAGTATGTATATGGAAACATTAGTGATTACATCATGTTATGATCACCTAATTTTAACATAATTTGTATAATATTATGTTATTTTTATATGAATACAAGTAAAATAAATGTATCTAAAATTACATTTTTTAAAATTTCAAATAGAAGCTAGAAACATGATCTTTATTATGTCATATAGATCAAATAATTGAAAAATCCCTGTAACAGCTATCAAGTTTATGTAACAAAACATTAATTTATTCAATCATTCAAAATAACAATTTTAAATTTTTCAAGAATCTAGGTTTATATGTAACTTTAAGATTCATTGTCTTTAAAAAAGAAAAAAAAACTAAAACTAATGATATTGTATTGTTCATAACCCTTTCCAAAATTTTATACATTTATAATTTTAAACAATATTAACTACAAAAAAAAAAACAACTGAATCTATCATCAGTGTTACTTTAACATCAGAACATAACATATTAGTACGAGACTAACTACAAAATATGAAATTAATTAATGATAAACCATGGTAAAGTCAAGTACGTAAAAAAGTTATCTATCATATTATTTCATTTATACTTTGTGCAGGACAGAGTAATAAAAATAATATAAAACAATAACTGAATACAAAAAATGTAATTGTGCCTTAATACAAACAAGTTTTAAATGTAATTAAAATGCGAAGTTACCTCTTAATTTCTTCTTTGTTCTTTTTGGCTCAATTTTCATATTCTTCTGGATGAAGCTCGCAAGAGTACAAACGCTTCTTTCCTTTTTAAATTATTCGGACTTTTCTTGAATTTTGGTTTTTTAATTTTTCAGTCAACTTCTATATTGTAGGCTCTTCTTGTATTTACATTTATTTCTTTTTCGTTACTTCCGATATTGCGTTTCCGTTATCATATGATTTTTTGGTCAATCGTTTCACTAATGTAATCATTATTTAATTTAGTAATATTTATATTTTACTTCCCACCTTTTAACTAGGCTGCCTGGCAGGGTCGCCATGTCATGACGGAAAGGTGTCAATGAGAAGAGAGGCGTGTTACACTCGCTATGACTTTAATTATACCGCTTGTGAACTTATTCTACCGTGACCTTTAATATATACTGTCGTGGGGTTTACACTACACTGCTGTCATCACCAACGAAAACACAAAGCATATTTATGCCACCAGGAATTTATGGTGTTTTTTAGGGCAATGATAAAATATTATTTTTTAGTTTGATTCCCAATTTGCTATAAATTGCTTAAATTCAATACCTACCATCACAACCCTCCGTCGTGCAACAGACACTTGAAATATTATGTTTATAGTTGAAAACATTTGATCCAGATTTGATTTGATTGAAACATGTTTTTCATCGATTGTCCACAGCAATGGTCGAGCTGGTAGAGATTTTGAAATTCGGCAGCTACATTAATCCATTCTTGTTGTATTGTGTTTTATTAATACGAGCGGTTGTAATTGTTTCCACAATGTGTCGCACACCTCTTCTACCATATTTAAAGCAGTTGATTCACCAATCCTGGAACTGAAAGCTATAGTTTCTAAAGATTCACCAGTTGATAAAACCCGCAACAAAAATATGTATTTAGTTCAATACTTAAAGTACTTACAGATAACTCTGTCAATGGATACACTTGAAACATGCATTAAATCATGCTTGTTTTAAGCATTATCTTTATTGCACAACACACACACACACACACACACACACACGCGCGCGCGCGCACGCACGCACGCACTCACGCACGCACGCACGCACACTCACGCACGTACGCACGCACACGCACACGCACGCGCACAGCGCATACACGCACACACAACGCACACAAATACTTCTGACCGCTTCCCCTTCCACCGCAGCCTAATGTAGCATGCTCGAGTTTTATAGTTACTCGCAACGTATTCGACACACATGCTACTAGTACTGGTAGCAATTCCTCAATAATATAGCATGCTTTCGTGCTACTTAATAGCATGTTTATCTGCATGCCCTTAATACAATATAGTGCAAATAAAAATTAAACAAATCATTCATATTCTACCACAGACTTAGAAAACATAGACACCATAAATTAACAAAATAAAAAATAGTTTATTTGTTGCAGTCAAAGAAGCCAAAAATTTGTGGCGAAAGCTCCGAGATGGACATCGGCAAGCAGTATCTAGGAAAAAAGCAACAACTGGACAGGCCACCAATCCAAGAAATCTGTGGAAATATGAAAAAAATATGGAGTTTTTGCTACCGACAATGCAAAATCGTACAAGATCAAGAAATGTAGACAAGCAAGATTTAAACCAACAAGACAGCGCTGTAGCACAACATAATGAAGACTCATCTGAAAGCGAACAGCATCAGAGGGTTGATGACTTTGTTCCTCCTAATAAAAAGCCTAATTTAACATCACCTACTGAAAAAGAACAAAAAAGGCGAGAGAGAAGATCCGCCGAAGGAGACTCATTGAGAAGGCAAATACTTAGTAGGAGTAGTGGTACTTCTGAAAATATCACGGCGAGTAATACTGCACTAGAAAAGTTTTTTATGAGTATGCTGCTAACTACATACAATCTTCCCGAAATGCTTCAATTAAGAGTACAACGACAAGTTTTTAATACCGTAATGGAAGCACAGGAAGAATATATAGCCACCCGTAGCTCGAGTGCATCACAGGCTGATCATCAACAAGCAGTCTAGCTATCAATATTTTACATCAATTTAGAGGCCGTTAGCCGTTCCAACTGAGAAGCGCGCCACACTTCACCTTGCCCGATTTCTACATCATCGAACTAGTACCCGAATGACCGAGCTTTGCTCGTTTTTTTTGAAATTACATTTATAAATTACATACTGATGAAACATAAATAATATTTTTTTGATCTTATTGACAGAATAGAAAAAACTGAACTGGTTATTTGAATAAAAAATCATGAGTGCAATTAGTTTTATTAAAATTTTCGTATTTTTAAAAAATACTAAAAAAGGGTTTGAAATAATAGATTTTCTCGCAAAAGAAGGGAAAAAGGAAAAAATCCGGACCAGAGACAGGACGCGAACCACGGAACTCCGAAATCACGCCCGACCGACATCCCACCTGAGCTATTACGATCGTTAGTGCCCTTTCAAAATTTACCTTCTTATATTGTAGCAGTTTTTTTATTGCCTGAAAACACGGACAAAAGGACATTTTCTAAAAAATAAAGCCTAGCTAGATCGATTTATTGCCCCCGAAACTCCCTGCACACTATATATATATATATATATATATATATATATATATATATATATATATATATATATATATATATATATATATATATATATACAAGAATTGCTCGTTTAAAGGTATAGGATTCCAGACGTCGTAGTTACATTACCGCCGCATATTGGTATTCAGCGTGATGACATCGAACATGGCAAGAACTAAAACTAAAAACCTCAAGATTTAGTGAATGAATTGTCAAACACACTGCGGTAATTGAAAATTATACACCAAACTATAATTCTTTTTTACAGGCCAGTTTTCATTCATTAGACCTTTCATTATGTCCAATTTGGAAAATTCAGTATGTTCGTTATTTTTTTTTCGTCGAGTTTATGAGAATATTAAACGTAAGTTAATTGTATAAAAACTTTTTATTCGCCTTACCCGTATGTTACAAATAATAATTATTTCTTTATTATATAGTTAGTGTGGAACCCGACACATTTTTGTTTTTTTGAATTCTTCCACACACGCATACATACACACGTAGGCACGCACGCACGCACGCACGCACACACGCACGCACACACGCACACACTATACACACACTGTACACACACTATACACACTACACACACATACTTTCGACTAATGTACTTAAGCAAACAGCAAGTCATTCTTCGGTAGAAATACATTTTTTTAAATATCTCCTTTAATCAAATCCTTAATCGTCAAATTTTAGGTACCCTTGGGTTTCGGAAATCGATTATAAATTTGTTATTTGACATATCCTCGTAAAAATTAAATTCGCCTCGGTCCTTTTAAAGCTATATATATATATATATATATATATATATGACGTTGTATCCAAATTCTAGCCTTTTATTAATGCAACACATGCATCAAATTCAAAATCTAAATCCTCTCCTTATGAGCTGTCGGAGAGATAAACTCAGTATAAACAATTGAAAAAACGGTCTAGTAAGTTTGAAGAATTGGTGAATGTTATGCTTGATAGTGTTTTGAAAATATTATCGTATCTGCGTAGTATGTGACTCGCTATACGGTCGTATTTGGAGCAGTGGACGAGCACAAGTTGTGTGTGAGGTGCGTGACGTGTGCGCGGTTCGCAGAGCAACATTGCGCTGATCCTGCACGCGGTGGGCGAGTACGAGCTGTCGCTGCGGTTCGCGGAGCGCGCGCTGAGCGTGACGAGCGCGTCGCACGGCGCGCGCTCGCTGAAGGCGGCCGTTGCGCGCCACCTGCTCGCGCGCACGCTCTCCTGCCTCGGCGACTTCCGCGCCGCGCTGCAGCACGAGAAGGAGACCTACTCCATATATAAGCAGCTGGTACGTAATATGCAATGCTTAGAAGCGCCGCTCTGAAAGTGTTTTTTTTTTAAACCTTTACACCCAATCCCGAAAGTTTTATTTATTTCCTCAATATTAAAATTATACAAGAAATGTACAAAACTTAACATAGGTTGCACTGCATTAAATATGGGTGCCACCCATAGCCTCGATTACATCTAAAACTACGCTTTTATACTTAACAAATAATGGAGTTAACACTTGCCTAACTAGGGTTGAACATACCTACTAGAAATACCTACTAAATTGAATAAATCAATGATTTATTTGTCACACAATAAAACACGACACAAAAAAGACGAAACAAAGTAATATTATACACATTGAGTGCGACAAACGAGCACACAGTCCACCTGATGGTAAGTGGATGCTGTGGCCCTTAGACATTTATCCGATTAAGAATCAAAACGCAGATGCGTTGTCATCCCTGAGGACTAAGATGGAATGCCTCGTTTCAAGTAAAAAAGGGTCTCCAGATCTCTACTCTCACCATACGAAACACAGCAGCATTAAGCTGCTATTTTATTGTATTTGTATTCTGTGAGAGCGTGGGCTTTCCCCGTTCGAGCCACCCATTAGTGCTACAACTATAATATAGCTGCAGCGTGGCTCTACCCCATAGAAAAATATCAGACTTAACATGATGCTGCTTATTGTTGCCACTTTATTGACTGCTAGCTGTTCCCCGTGACTTAAACCGCGTTTATCTGTTTTAAATTTTTTGTGCGGAACTGTCACGAACGCTATTATTATCTGCCAGTGAAAGTTCGACAAAATCGATCCAGCGGTTTCGGAGATTAGCCGCATTAAATAAATAATGTTTTTTTGTAATATGTACAGTATATACTTTCATAAGCATTTAGTAAAAAGCTGTTATTTTGATATTATAAACAGACACTTCAATTTCATTTATTTGTAAAGATTGTGCTGTTAATCTGCCGGTACATTTTGTTACCCAGAAATTGTCGAACATATTGTTAGCATTTTTCTTTTTTATTTGCCTGTAACAGTCCACTGCTAGATATGAGTTTCTCCAATTGTAAGAAAGATTTGCAGTAACCTCCATGTTTAGCAGTCAGGTTGGCAAAAACAGCACAGGTGTTTATCAGCACACATTGACCTAAGTGATTTAGACTACGTACGAATACTGATGGTTATACCGATATTAACCTTTTGAGCGCCACGCCAAAAACGCATTACCGTGTCTTGTACGCCAAAGCGAAAAGTAAACAAAAATACCTACGAAAAAAATTGTGTTGTCAAGAGTTGATATATCGATAACAAAAATAACATGATTTTGTTGGATTTTTATGCAATAAATGACTTTATAATCTGGTATGTTTTATTTAATCTTGTGCTGTCTTCCACTTTTTTATATATGTACTTTGTACATAAATAAAAAACAAATAATAACAATAAAATAGTAGTAAACCACAGCACTACTCTTCATCGTGATGACGTCACTGTCACGATAGTTCATCACGTGATGATAGTTTTATGTTTCTTACCTTTTGTTTTATTCAAATATAAATAATAATTTAAAAAATAACACGTTTGCGTTTAATTTTGACTAGTTTTCAATAAATCTATGCCTAACGCAATACAACATTAGTAGTCAAACATAGATGACTTTAGCATGCTGGACATAGTATTTGCTTAGATAAAAATCTATTTTTTAGTTCAATGTTTCTTAGTACTTGTGGCTCTAAGAGACTTGTTTTTTATACTCACATGTTGGTGGATTATTCTTTTTTGAGGGGTGTAGAATTAAAATACCAGTAATATTTTTCCAATATCTATATTTCATATTTTTGTGGGCCGGGTTTTTGTCAACTATAGACGTCGTTGGCGCTCAGGGCCCGCAGGTGCTGGTCAAGTATAGGCGACTTTGGCGTTCAAAAGGTTAATGGGCTGTGGTGACCCACGAGACAAAACGAGATGATATTTTGTTAAGCTGCTACGACTCGCTTCGCTCGGGTCGGCTAGTGAAAAATATTTATTTCTTGAACACATTCTTGTTTTTGATAGAAAAAAAAAAACTAATCGTTGAGTAGTGACAATTCATAAATAATTCGATGTAAAAAAAAAACAGTAGAAAAGGAATTTTTCATTACGAGATGCTTATAAATCTGGTTAAAGGTAGAGATTTTCGATATTTTGGAAAATTTAGTATAGCTTTAAATCGGAACATATATTGTGTTGTTTTGGTAGTTATTGACCCAAGCTATCGACCTCTGCACCATGTCGTACTATTTACTGGACACCTTGTATAAAAGAACGTACGGAGAAAATGTACCCACACGTGGCAAAATTTCTTCTTTCGTTTGAAAAATAATATCAGCAGAGTTTGTAGCCAGACCTAAACTTCAAACGTGCAATACCTTAAAAGTATCTTTTTGTTACTTGTGGATCCTCTGTGCGTAAATGAGTCAAGTTGTCACGGCCTAAACCGGACGTGGTGACGAGCACGAGAGTTAAGGGTTAGTGTGGTCGGCAGCTGGGTGAGAAGCACGAGAAGACGCGCGAGTCGTCGGAGTGCCTGCGGCATCTGACGCAGCAGGCGGTGGTGCTGCAAAAGCGGCTGGCCGACGCGTACGCGCGCGCGCAACCTGCGCACGGCGCACCGCACGCGCAACCCGCGCCCCCGCCCGCCCCGCCGCTGCACATCCAGCCGCCCGCCATGGCCTCCGTCATCGACATGCTCAACCTCATCAACGGAATCCTCTTTGTGCAGATCAGGTCAGCCGCACGCACGCGCACGCACACAAACACGCCACTAGTACTCATACACTATTGACCTTACACTTCTTTTCATCAGCCTGGAGAATTCCACTTCTGGATATGGAATTAAAACTTATATAACTACTTTGAGATGGCTTACAAATTTAACTAGATGAAGATATCATGGAATTCGATTATTTTACATAAGTACATTTTTACAGTCCTAGTTTAGTAAATTATGTATTCCATTTCCTTGACTTAACTATTTTAATTATACCAAAAATGCCTAAAAAGTGTCAATTTAATAATCTACATGATTTAGTATACATAAATGTACCGTTTTATTATGTTCTGTAATAAATAGTATTTTAATCAAATATGTATTTTTGTAGTCCTCAAGATATTGAGCAATTCAAAGCCGAGATAGAAAAAAGGCAATTAAAGGATTTGCCGATCCCGGGCGTGGTGAACCAAGTTAGCAGTAAAACTGCTGAAAAACCTGAGGAAAAAACAAACGACGAGGGTCGGGGTTCGCAACAAAAGGATACAGTGAAGTTGAAAAACGAGAGTTGAAATGGCGGTTGACTGGTAATGTGTTCGTTTTTAGACTACAGTTAGCGTTAGTAAGCGATTTGTGGCGCATGCATTACAGCGGACGTTAAATTATCAATTGAAACAGTTATTGTTCCTTATCTATGAATGTATGCTGTAGTGGATAGTGTGCTAAGGTTTGATGTAGATTTTGTTAGTCAAATTTTTGATTATTTTATTTTGATCAAATTTAATTAAGCGTTATTTTATGAAATTAATATCACGCATGTGCAATAAGTTTTTAATGCAGGGGAATTTTATTTTTGCTAAAACATCCAAAATGTTTGAAGGGGTTTATAAAGATGTGTCTCAGTTTGGACTCGCAAATTTATGTACACCCAGAGTAGTGCAACATTTACGTAGTGATAATAGCGATAAGTTTCGGTTGTGAACCCGGGGCCCGCATATGTTTCTGCCATGCCACTGGTGCTACTGCCACATTGTCCTTTTCAAATATATAATGGTTTTATTATTATTGTTATTATCGAGTATTATTTCAATATTTTTCATTTTGCGAAGTTATATTGTTGAAATGCCCATAAAGATTATATGAGATTATATTGTGATTGAAATGTAACAGGTATGCGATATTTCGAGTCCGCTGTTATTATTACCTTTGTTCAATATTATACGTCTCAGTGATGTGCAAGTCCCCTCGTAATTGAAATTTCGTTAAATGATTTGTTATTCAGTGTGTTAGTGCCATATTATGTAGTGTATGTAAGTTCCCTGGCGTAGTTTCCGTTAGTCTGTGATATGATGTGTGTCATCGAGTCACTTGCCTTATTGATGCAATAGGACTTAAAGGTAATTTAATATAATGAAAATGCTTTAACTGTTTAAGTGTTTTAATGAAATCACAATTTTCAATTATATAATAATCTAATATCAATTCTATAATGCAATATTTATTATTCACATCGTGCTTGTCTTATAGCGATAACCCTTATGGCATATTGCGAATGTCAGGTTTCCTGCTTAGGTTTTCATATTACGAATTCAGATTCGGCATACCATCAACTTAGAGCACACATTTTGGTGTAGTTTATTATTATGCTTTTACATTAGAAAAAAAAAACCTATTATATAAAGGAACGTCCGTTAATGGGCGGCGGCACGCCAAAAATTTGCGTTAGAGCTGCATTTAGTAGATTTGGGATGACGTCTTTCGGTTTTACCTTTTTTCATTCCAAATGTCGGGCTTGCTTCCAGAATCTAACAGGATTTGTTACCGAATGGAAAATAAAATGCTTATCTAAAACGTGTGCGCCACATTTGTACGAAATTCTTTCATTCAGTTGCTCAAATACGAAAAACGTAATGTAATTACTAATCAGGAAACCTTACGTTTGCGCGGGCTTATCCACTGTTGTTAACGTTAAACGGCTAAATTGTGCCAATAAAAAACTACTGTCAGTAATTTTATATGTATTCTCGGATTAAAATTTTTATTTTTAGCTATTATATTTTAAATGTGTATTTCATAAACATCGCTACTTAATTGTAACAAGGAAGAGATTGGATTGTTTTCAACATAATTGTACGATTACATGTCACATTACGATGCAGTTTGCATCATCTCAGATCAAACCCTGTTTTCAGTGTAAGTAAAGAACTTAAGAGGGTATTGGAAATCGTTTAGTCTATACGCACGTTATTCATTTGTTTTCTTCCTGAGTGAGTGATACTATTTCGAATATTTTTACGATACAATCTATATCTAACACTGCCATATGTTCCAATTTTTTTTGTTTTAATGATAAACCTACAGACATAGCCACAATCCCATCAAGATATTCTTTTGTTTCTAAAAAGATTTAATAATGGATCAAAAAATTAAAGAAGGAAACAGATGAAATCAATTTTTCGCAGTTAAAATCAGTCTGAACTGCAGTTTTCTCTCTTGATTGTCTAGCTCGTTCGATCGAGCATAGCGCGACAGCAAAACCTTATTCTTCAAATTTCTTGCAGTTCCATCCATAATACTCTTAATGTTCTTTAAATTTTTAATAATTAACCGCAACTTGTCTTCTATAAACATAGACAATTTACGAAAATATAAAGTTTAGGTAGGTAGTATTTGAAAATCTTCATCGTATCGATTTTAGGTACCATTTTGTTTTCTTTTTCTTCTATATTGTTATTTATTTCATTTAAAATCAAAAATACTTTTTCAATCTTCACTTCTTGCCTATGTTTTTAATTTTGGACAGTTGCGATTCTCACAATTAATGTAGTAATTTTTATGATATGTAGTACGAAGTGAAAAGGATGAGCCGCAGGGTTTATGTTATTATAGCCACTTAGTGGTTCAAGCAATACTGTTAAATTTGTGGATGTTGTTCGATGAAGTATGTGCCTAAAGAAATAATGAAGTTGTTGTTACATTTCTTTAACAATATAAAGACCATGTAAATACGGCGCTGTTCGTAGTATACTAATAAAAAATTCGTTTTTATATTTTGTTTTATTAATTTTTACATATTTTTACTTATGCTTAAAGCATGAAATATAATACAAGCTGTTCTCCGCCACTTCATCCGCGTGAAAGTAATTACTATTGGATTTCATGGATTTTTTTTGCGCGGAACCCTAATACTTTTTCTAAAATGAAAGCCTAAGTTACTCCTTACAACATCAGCTATCTGCCAGTGAAAATCCCAAAATGGGTCCGGTTCCAGCCATTTCGGAGGTTATCCGAAACAAACAGACAGACAGACAAAACTTTAAAAATTGTTTTTTGTTATAAGTACCATATATACTTTAATAACTGATTATGCTAATGTAATAGTGGAGACGAACTGTCCACTATTAACAGACTCCGAGTGGTTTTCTTTAAGGTGGAGAAATGAAACTACTGTTTATGTTTATGAATGTACTGTCGAATGGGATTCGGAATGGAATATCTTTTGCATCAACCTTGCCTATATTTATATGGCTGGCTCACTATTGATTTGCCAATGGTAACAATTAATATTTTGCCTAGCCAATTATATTGCTTATTTTATGACCAATGAAAACTATTTAAAATATACAATTATCTACGTTTCGTTTCCCGGCGTGAGACTTGTTTGTTGTTCACGAAGCTACGTCGCTGGACCGGGCTATATAAGACATGCAGATCGGTGCGCACGCGTAGTCGGCGGGCGGCGGCGGTGTGGAATACAGCTCCGGAACAGCAAGAGGAAACGAACTGCGGCGTTGAAGAAACGGCTCACCATTGGTCGACGGATACGTGACGATAGCGGCGTGTGAAGTCGGTGTGGCGCTGAATGATATTTGCGGCTGCTTCTTGTTTCTTTATAAGAACGTCAAATTATCTATATACAGTCCGCAGTATCTCAGTAGCCAAGAATAATTAGGAAATAAAATGTTTTTTTATTTATTCTCGCCTTCCGCGTTATGGTAGCAGCGGAGTATATATTATTTATTCCCGTTTAGGTTTGATTAATCTGGCTGCTACATCACTCTCCCCCCAGCGAAAGCGTACCGGAGGCTTGACGACTCGCCCGTATTTCGTAGTTTTTAAAATAGGTTTCAACTGGGTTGATGTAGATGATGAAGTTTCAAGCTTCCTCGCTGGTGGTTTTGATGATGATGATGAATCCTCTGCAGTATCCTCGTTAATAATATAGGCAGGCTTTAGTCGGTCGATCGATATAATCGTAGATTTCCTTCCGGGTATTTGTAGTTTAAAAGTCTTGCTATTTCTCTCTAATACTTTATACGGTCCATCGTAGGTAGGTTGAAATTGTTTTTTCATTGCGTCGTTTCTTACAAAAACTTGTTTGCATGTTTTCAAATCTTGGTGAATGAATACTGATTTATTATTTCTGTGTGATTGCATTTCGGTGCATTTCAACGATAAGGCTTTGTTAATTGATTCTCGAAGTTTAGTTACGAAATCGTAATCCATTTCTTGTTTGTTTGACGCTGCTGAACTGAAGAAGTCACACGGCAACCTTATGCTGCAGCCGTAGGTTAGCTGAGCGGCGCTAAGACTAGTGTCTGCACGCGGTGTTGCTCGTAGTCCGAGTAGCACTGTAGGTAGCTCATCAATCCACTTTGTATGTTGAGATAAACGAGTTTTGAGTGCAGTCTTTAATGTACGATGCCATCGTTCGATTATTCCGTTTGACTGAGGATGGTATGCTGTTGTACGCGTCTTCTGTATTCCCATAGTTTGAAGAAGTTTGAGGAATAGGTTGCTTTCGAAATTCCTTCCTTGATCCGTTGTGATGGTTTTAGGTGATCCGAAACGAGTAATCCAATTTTCATAAATTATCTTCGCGACGGATTCGGCTGAAGTATCATCGGTAGGTATTGCTTCTGGCCATCTTGTTGTTCTGTCGATCATTGTTACGAGATAACGATGTCCTTGCGGTGAAGTAGGTAATGGTCCAACGATGTCAACGTGCAAGTGTTCGAATCTCTCCGTGGGTGGAAATGTAGCTAGACTACTTGATGTATGCCTTTGAACTTTGCATTTTTGGCATTGAATGCATTGCTTCGCCCAGTTGCCAACATCCGCTTGCATTGCAGGCCAAAAGAATTTTTCAGTGATGAGTTTTCTTGTTGTTCTAACACCTGGATGACTAATGTTGTGCAGTGCATTGAAGACTTCGCGACGACATTCTTCTGGTATGTATGGTCGCATGGTTGTCGTTGAGGCTTCACAGTATATAGGTAGATGCGTCATTGGCATTGTAACTTGCTTGATGGACAAGTTACCTTGCTTCGCTAGATGTTTTATGTTGTCACTATCTCTGTCTTGTGCTGCGGCGATCTTATGATAGTCGATTGATGTAGGGCACGTTACACTGTCGATTGGTACGCGACTGAGTGCGTCGGCAACTATGTTGTCCTTTCCACTGATGTGACGTATGTCGGTCGTGAATTCACTTATGAAAATAAGTTGTCTTGCTCTTCGTGGTGTTTCCGATAGTGATGGTTTCTTTGGAAGTACATATGTTAATGGTTTG